ATAAATTTTAAATTTTAATTAGTCTGTATATTAGTCTAGTATTAAAATTAAACTAGAAAAAAGTATTATTATTAATTTTGAATTATTAAAATATATTAAATACATCATATATAAAGAATTACTGTAAAATTAAACTAATTAAAATATATTAAATTCATAAGCATTTATTGTGTTTATATATGCATACACACAAATGTTTAGTAGTTTATTTAATGTTTTAATTAGTCTAATTACATTTGAAGTCTTTTTCAATTTCAATTTTAATTATTTATTTATTTGTTTTTTTATTTATTTCTTCAAGTCAAAGGAATGTTCAATCAATAAACATTTATTGTATGTATGCGTATGCATGTGTTGCATATTTAATTTTCTGGTGTTTACTGTTTTATAATACAAACCAATATATTTACCATAACTGGTGTGTATTATGAAACTACTGTAATTATATACCATTTAAAAAAAATTATAATGAAATACTTGTACTTTCTGAACTTGTATTGTGGTAATACAAACTTGTCACAAACAATGGATCTGTGTAATGTGTTTTAGCAAAACAAAAAGGTTCCTAAAATCAGTACAGCTGTGTGCTTATGCAGTGTTGAAGATGCTGTACTAAAAAGAACCTTGAAGAATATTTTTTGTATTTGTATGTTGAAGCTGTTCAACGTTTATATTGATTTCCCTCTTGTGAAATCCAAGCACTTCAGCTGTGAATATAAGCGCAGTACTGAATCATTTCTCTCCGCGGTGAAATATTGACTATGTTCCCTTGTTCTCCCGCAGGAGTCTGGCTTGAGCCTCCTGATGGTCGCGGTGCGAGAGAGCCGTCTGTCTATCGTTGACAGGTTGCTGGAACTGGGGATCAATCCAAGTGACAAAACGAAGGTAGGAGTTTCCCATCGTCTGGAATCATGTCTTAACTTAAATAACTCCCACTCCTCTGAGACAAAACCAGAACACGCCACTCAACGCAGATGTTGTTCATTAGTAGCAGGCAATTAAGCTTTTAATGGAAACGGTTCAGTGGTTTTGAAGTTATTAAATAGCACTAGATTTTCTGAAGCGAAGTTGCTAGGGTGTTTGCTATGTGAAAAGGTCACCCAAGAAAGAAAATTAGCTGAAGTTGTACTCACTCTCAGGCTGTCCAAAATGTACATGAGTTTGTTTCTTCATCTAAAGAGATTTGGAGAAATTACATCACTTGCTCACCTCTGCAGTGAATGGGTGCCGTCAGAATGAGAGTCCAAACAGCTGATAAAAACATCACAATAATCCACAAGTAATCCACACCACTCCAGTCCATCAATTAATGCCTTGTGAAGCAAAAAGCTGCATGTTTGTAAGAAACAAATCCATCATTAACTTCAAACTGTCTGCTTCCAGCTAAAATACGAGTCCTATATTCATAATAATGCTTCCTCCGGTGAAAAAGTCGTCTCTGAATCAGGAGAGAAATATGCACAGATCAAGCGCTGTTTACAAAACGGTTCTAAACAAATATATGGATGATTTTGATGTAAGAGTCAACAGGAGATGGACTTTTCACTGGAGGAAGTGTTATTATGGACTGTTTTAGCTGGAGACAACGGTCTGAAGTTAAAAACGTCTTGCTGGATTTGTTTCTTACAAACATGCAGCTTTTTGCTTCACAAGATGTTAATACATTAGCTGGATTTGTGTGGAATATTGTGGTGTTTTTATCAGCTGTTCGGACTCTCATTCTGACGGCACCCATTCACTGCAGAGGATCCATTGCTGAGCAAGTGATGTAATGCTACATTTCTCCAAATCTGATGAAGAAACAAACTCATCTACATTTTGGATGAGGACATTTTCAGCAATTCCACATTTTTGGGGAACTATTCCTTTTCCTCATTTTAAGTGTTTGCTCAAATCACAAATTATTGTCTTATTAATTTTTATGCGGTCATGAAATCTGACACATAAAGCGTGTAATGTTTTAGCTGTACTACAGTATGTAGGTGTCAATATCTGAGTTTTACAGCTCGGTGGACGCCTCATGAGTAATTGTCACTCTGGGGGTGTTTAAAAGTGCAGCTCGGATCAACTGTGAGCAGTTGGCTGAATCTGACAGGAAAAATAAAGAGGTGACGAAACTTGGAATAGGACGTTTGTGTGAGAGTGAGTGAGTGAGTGAGTGGGCGAGAGAGTTTTACAGCAAATCTGTCCGCCTGTTCAACGTGCTGCTCTTCCAAAAACATCAGCTTTTTCATGTATGTGAGTGTATATATAGAGAAATTAATACTGTTATTCAGCAAGGAGATGTTAAATTGATCAAAAGTGACAGTAAAGACATTTATAATGTCACGAAAGATTTCTATTTCAAATGAATGCTGTTCTTTTGAACTTTCTATTCATCAAAGAATCCTGAACAAGATAATTTATCACAGTTTCCACAAAAAAATGAAGCAGCACAACTGTTTTCAGCATGATAATAATCAGAAATGTTTCTTGAGCAGCAAATCAGCATATCAGAATGATTTCTGAAGGATCATGTGACACTGAAGACTGGAGTAATGATGCTGAAAATCCAGCTTTGATCACAGAAATAAATTACATTTTACAGTATATTCACTTAGAAAGCAACTATTTTAAATTATAATAATATTTCACAATATTACCATTTTTACTGTATTTTTGAACAAATAAATGCTGCCTTGGTGAGCAGAAGAAACTTCTTTAAAATTTTCCAATCCAAAACCTTTGAATGGTAGTGTTTTATTTTATTCGTTTTATAACACACATTCCTTGTCTTATTATGAGCAAAAGCTATATTATTAGTTTAAAAACAAATGTGGATTGCAGCTCAGATCATTTGGTCTTGGAAAAATTTGATGAGAAGTGTTTAAATTCGACTGAGATCTCAGTTTGAGACGTTTAGGTTTTTTTTTTCCTGAAAAGTCTTTCTATAAGGAGAGAGCTTAAGCAAAGTTTCCATTTGTTCTCAAATTGAATTTAATTGCTGTCTAGGAGAAACGATTGGTATCATTTGAATACATCTAATTTCCTATTGAGATAAGAACGTTTCAGCTCAGAAGCAAATGTAATTGAAGAAGTGATGATAAACCTGAGTGCGGAATCTGTGAGATATTACTGTGAAGTAATGCAGTATGTTGTGACTGTGAGTGTCACAGTGAGAACTTTTTCTCATGGTTGGACTGTGGTTAGTTTAATTCTTGTTGGGTGTTTTGACTTGTTGGTCCTCATCTGTGGTGACTTTTACAAGCTATATTTCTGCATATTCAAGGGGAAAATGCAGTAAAGAAAATGTGGTGTAAGATTTACTTTAAACTTTTTTTCACATAGAACTTGCTAGTAAATTTAATAAATAATTACAAAGAAATAGTAAGTAACACATTGAATTAATTGTGAAATTTTGAAGTAGAAAGACTGAGATATCATTTTCTTGCTAAGTGTATTGCAGTAATAAGTTACAACTGTACAAAAAAGTACAGTGTATAATTTATTTTTAGGTATAAATTTGTCAAAAACAGTGATGTAATCAAATAAAGTCATAAAACTGTGATTTAATTCATCTTAAAATTTAATCAGATGAAAATAGCAATGATGTTAATTTTTTAGCAAACAAAATGCTGCATAAAAGAGGTTAACTGTTAAATTAAAACATGGACAAAACTGTAATATTTCTTTTTAAAAAGTATTAATCATTTTATTATTATTGAATTAAACATGACATTTTGAAATAAAAATAATTAAATAGTATTAACTTGTAAAATGTATTTCAGTAATCTTTGTTTTATGTACAACTTAAAAAAAAAAAAAAAAACCGAAAACGAAAATTTGTTTTTACCATGTGGGTCAATAATAAATACATTTTTAAATGTATTTATTTATTTATTTCTGTGTAAAGTTGCTAGAATGTCGTGGATGAATAGTGAGTGATTTCTAGGTGTTTTCATAGTGTTGTTTGGCTGAAATGTTGTTTCCACTCAGCATGTTTTTTAGTTTTGTGTTTTTTGGCACTTTACTGAGCTGCATTTTAATTTTATGTTGTTTTGTTTCGTAGCTCACTGGTACCTTTCACCGTCCATCACTTTTGTTTCAGGGGACGAGTGGAAATGAGTTATGACGAGTTGTTTGTCTGTACTCGAGGTTCTCCAAAACCCGTGAGGTCTGGATTCAGCCCAGCTCCTGTTTCCCATCGCATGTATTGAATTACCCTATAGATTTCTGCTGATGTGAATACTAGTTTTGGACACCGTGTGGTGAACGATGCTTGAATCAATAACTCATGGGATGTGGGATCTTTCAGTCGCTTGCCAGTTATCTATCAAAACCGGTTGGTTCAAAATGTGCAGAAGTTTAGTAGTGGAAACCTCACTGGGACTAGAAGTGATTCACTAAAAAATTCCTCTGCGTAATATCTTCCATCCATCTTTGGACGTGTCTGGAATGCTCTTTACTGTGTGTTCATGACGTTTAGGGGTTTGGAGAAGCACACATAGCCTTTTTCAGGTGCGGAGAGCTGGGATCCTGTGTCTTTGGCACGCTGTGGTTTAAACCAGGGAAGATTAGTGAACAAAAGAGATTCTTTACTGTCTGCATTTGGACGTCAAGGAAAGTATGAGGTACATTATTAAAGCAATATTCTTCAAATTACGTCTTTATTCATGTTCCATTTGACATAATTGTCCTAGTTTCTGCAAGTTTGGCGTCGACTAATGAAGTTGCTTAGACACAAAGGTCAGTCGCAGGCTGTGTTCTAAAACCTAGTGAACCTCCATACTGTCTAGTGTCTACATAGGCAGCTGCCTTCTAAGTCATCATCAACTGAATTGGAAGCTCATTTGATTTGAAACACTCTACTTGTTGCAGACAGTCCTTGTCCTTGTGTGAAGCACACATGAGGCTAAACAATACAGTAAAAGCAGTAGGCTAATAATGTGAAATATTACCATTTCAAATAACTCTTTTCTATTGTAATATATTTAAAAATTTAATTTATTTCTGTGATCAAAGCTGAATTTTCAGCATCATTACTCCAGTCTTCAGTGTCACATGATCTTCAGAAATAATTCTGATTTGCTGATTTGCTGCTCAGGAAACATTTATTATTATTATCAATGTTTAAAACAGTTGTGCTGCTTCATATTTTTGTGGAAACCGTGATATATTTTATTCAGGATTCTTTGATGAATAGAAAGTTCAAAAGCTATATATAGAGGGAATTAAAAGTTTATTTTGTGTCAGGATTGTACGAATTATGCCCTAAAATGCTGTGTATAGGGCTGTGACTGTCGCCGTGACAACCACGTCACCACGGTGGTCTATTACCTCCGGTGGTAGTGCACATGACGTCACACACTCTATAACAAGCATAATACAAAGCTTTGTATACAAGTGTAATAACAGTAACAGTTGTTGTTTTATTTAGACTATAAGTCTATGTTAATTCACAAATTACCTCAAAGGCCATACGGCGTTTCCTTTAGATCATGCTTTAGATTGGCAGGTTTGAGTGCAGGAAAATACAGTTTATTCTGCATTCAGCAAATTAATTTCATGTTGAGCGATGGGCCTTGATTGGGAAACCAAATAATACATCGCCGATCTGGAGCCATCTCCATTCATGTCACCCATCCGCGTTTGTACAAGTGTCTTCAAGTTCCCGTGATCGCAAACGCCCGGCTGGTCAGGTTTGTATTGGTGAAGCTTTGGCCAAATACAAACGAGACAGCGGTAAATGGAAGATGCGAACAAGAAATATGGAAACATACGCCGCGATTCCTGTTCCACAGAGAGAGCGTGCAAACCAGGAGTTAACGTGTCCGCCTGCTTGGTGTGGAACAGTGAGCCGTGTCTACACCGTTGCAACACAACAGGTTGAGTCTGTCTAAAGGACATTTGAACTTTGTGTCAGTACGTCATAAATAGGATGAGGCATCAGTTTACTGTCGGGGATTTGTCGTGTCATGTCACGCCGCATCCAATGTTGACAACATCACTGATTATAATGGGTTCTATAGCCTATTTTGTCATGTCGTGCCACGCCGCTCGTGTCCGGTGTAGACAGGGTGTATTTAACGTTCTTATTTAAGGCTATTTTCTTATTTAACTGTATTATTTCTTTGATATTTATTTTAGTGTTTTGCAGGCTGCGTGTTCACTGACGGAAGTGCTAAAAGAAACATGCACGTTTGTTAATAGATGATCGAGCCTCATTTATTTTTTGTTTCATTTATATATATATATATATATACAGAGTAGTGTGAAAAAGTGTTGGCCCCCTTCCTGATTTCTTATTTTTTTGCATGTTTGTCACACTTTAATGTTTCAGATCATCAAACAAATTTAAATATTAGTAAAAGATAACACAAGTATAACAACACTGCGCCACCGACGGTAGTTGTTCCATTACCACCGCGGTGGTAAAAATCTGCTACCATCACAGCCCTAGTTCACTAGATTTAATATTAGTGGTTGACCAATATATCGCCAAGGCCGATATTTGGCATTTTTAAAATATCGGCATTGGCCGATACGTTTTTCTGTTTGGCCGATGCGTTCGAGGTGGGACTTTTATTTTGACAGCGCATGGACTTTTTATTTTGGCGGCACTGAGAATGGCAGTGAGGCCATCTGGTGGTCAATAAAAATTCTTACACTAACTGTATCATTTAGATGTTTTGTTCATTGGGATGTCATTGTAAGGTTTAATTTTCTATTTAATAAGCATATGTGTCATGGCAAGGTGGCATGTGTGTGTGCAGCGATAGAGTTTCCAAAATGTATTGTATTTTGCACAATACAATGACAATAAAGACTTTGTTCTTCATTTTTACTTGCATCAAACTTGTGTCTTTTCACCTTCTAAATAGAATGTTTAATACGCCAATAAATTAGACCTATGTCATTTTTCATTGCACCATTTTTGTGTCTTCCTTACAAAACAACACAAACATGCACATTGTTAAAAAACACAAATACAAATGCAATTATTGCATTTAATATATTTTGCAATAATATATTGTTCTCACCAATGTGAGCTGTTGACAACTGAGGATGGCGTTTACAAGCAGCAAAAATGTTAAGGAAGGAATTTTATCCTTTTTGGGAACAGTGGTTGAGCCCGCAAGGTGTTTTAATTTTCATTCAGTCAACAGACATTCACATGCCATTGTTTTTAATAGTAGTACTATAATTAACAACGATACACCACGTGAAAACACTACATGCATATAGGCATCCTGACTGATATAACTATAACATTGCACTAAATGGATCGCGGGTATGGGACAGCGCAATCGATGCGCTTTGTATTTGAGCCTAGCGTGACGTGTCAGTGAGGTAACGAAGCTTCGTTTTCACAGGTCACGTGACAGCCTCAGTTTCGAAGCACTAGTGTGTCAAAAACTCGAAACGTGTGTCGACACTAGGTGTCGATCTACCCATCCCTACTTTGAATGATTAATGAACATTTCATTTCACAAACCTTGCAAACTTAGTCGTATCTAGTTGTGAGATCTTGTGAAGTGTGCATGTGTATCCTGCATGATCGCGTGTTCTCTGCTTGACTTTCAGTCCTTGCGAATTGAATGCTTTAAACATTAAATTTGTGATTTCAAATTATGCTGCACTTTATGCATTTGCCCAATGTCATATTCATGTCATTTTCACTGTGTGCTGTATGTAAAATGAGTGTTACCTTGGCTTTATTTGAAAAAATATGATTCCCAATGCACACAAACTTCCCAGAATACTGAGTGCTCTGTTGGTTACAGTGTTTACGACCTTTTTAATTATATTTTTATCAAATATTTATTTATTTGTGAAAAATACTTTGTCATCTAAAGTATAAGTATGTTTATTTTACAAAATAAATGTTTTTAATCCATTTTCAAATGATTTCAAATTTCTTAAATATTAATGAATATAAATACAATTATATCGGCTTTATATCGGCCATCGGCCACCCTGCTTTCCAAGATATCGGCATCGGCTGTCAAAAAAACAATATTGGTCGACCACTATTTAATATCAATACTGAAGTTAATTTGTAAAATTCATATGAAAGATGTTTCCTCCTGTGTTTTTTCCTGGTATTGCCATGTTCCATATGGACAAGCTAGAAAGATGCTTTCTCAAATAAATTTGATTAAAATAAGACTTTTTTGTTTTTAATTTTTGTATCTCTGTGTTTCTAAGCCCAAACTTCTTCTGCCACAGTTCAGTTACCATGCAAACTCTCCTGAAATTTTCTGGAATTTTGTTGATGTTTTTTGATACAATGTTTCAGACCAATGATAGTCATAATAGTGCTAACAGTTGTGTTTCTGTCGTTTTCTTTGTGGTTCACCACACTATAATGTTACAGTAGCATTAGCATGTTCCCTACTGTAAGCAGCTGAAATTGCAGTGCTGGTTAACATTTCTCTTTTAACAGGATGGCACAAATATTTCCAATACCAAAAATGACTTACAATAAATGTGAATTCACCAACCGCCTGTTTCAGAGAATCAACATTAATGCTGAACTGTGGTAATGTGGGTGCAGACTATGAAGTGGTGACTGCTTGCATCCTTTTCCCCTTTTCTCACAAACTTACGAGATCTGTGGTCATTCGGTAACTCTTGGCGATCCTGCTGGAATGTCTGTCCAGCTGTGCCTGTGTGTAAAGGAGATTCACTGAACCGTTGGGAGTTAATTTGTGTCAGTGACTCAAAGCTTCTGTCGTGAAATGTCCTTGGATAACCTCTACAAGCATTATAGTCTTCCACTTCACAGTCTGAGACACAGACTCCTGTGGAAACCGACAGTGAGGTCAATAGCGCACAGGACTAAATGTCATCCATGACTTGATTACAGCATTTACACTTTGAAGTCAGTGTCAGAGATGATCACTGCAATGTATCATTGCATTTGATTTACTCTTTATTTTTCTTTATATTCTCATAACTCTCAAACGGTCATAACTTTAGAAAGATATACACTACAGGTCAAAAGTTTGGGATTGGTAAGATTTAAAAAAAATTTTTTTTGAAAGTCTGTTATGCTCACCATTTGTTTAATCAAAAATACAATGAAAATTAAGAAATATTATTTTAAATGTAAAAAAAAAAAGTTTTCTGTGTGAATATATTGTAAAATGTAATTTATTCCTGTGATACGCATCTGAATTTTCAGCATCATTACTCCAGTCTTCAGTGTCACATGATCTTTCAGAAATCATTTTAATATGCTGATTTGCTGCTCAAGAAACACTTATTATTATTATTATTATCAATGTTGAAAACAGTTGTGATACTTCACATATGTGTGAGAAAAAATTGTTAATATGGAGACTTTCAAAAACATAAAAAATTTAACAATTCTTACCGGTCCCATATATTTGACCGGTAGTGTATATTAGACACATATATTATACTTTTTTTTTTGTATTAAAATGTATATTAAACCTAAGAAAAATAGAAGTAACTTTAAAACGGATACATCCTGAAAGACATTTTGAGCATAGAATACAACTGATGACTACTTGCAATAAAATATTTTTCACTCTTGTGTTTTAATGATATGTATTTTTTGTAGGAATTAGTTCATTTTTATGTTGTTTTTATTGATCAGGATGGCAGATCAGCATTACACATTGCTGCAGCTCACTCCAAAGACGAGATCGTCAAACTACTGGCCAGAAAAACTGATCCCAATTTACCAGCAGGGGTGAGATGTTCAGTTCACTTTTATCTTCACATAATCATATTCAGCTCATATTGAGATATGTGTTTCTTTGAGGGGTAAAAGACCAAACAAATTGGTACAAATGTTCCTAATAGTTTAATGTTTACATGCATGGATTATTTAATTGCATTAAAAATTTAACTAAAAGTCAATCAAACGTCCATTTCGTACCTTTAATCACACATTTCGTACTGTTGCACATTTTTAATAATGTATATAACAGTAGAACAGTCTTTTAATGTGATTATTCATTGACCTCTGAATGCATTTTGTGTGTAAATCTCATGAAGTTAATATTGTACTCCATGTATGTCAAAGAATAGCTCAGTATTAAAATGTCCAAAAACACTTGAATTCTCACATTGATTTAATTGAATTCTCATTCATGTTTAGCCCAGTGATCAGTTGCCCCTGCACTACGCAGCGTCTCGACCCACCGGAGGACTTGGAGTTGTGCAGACTCTGCTCAAGTTCAGCAGCAAAGATGCTCGTCTTATACCAGACAAGGTACAAAAGCGTTGATCACGCTTATTGATTAATTATATGAGAAATATGTGCCCTCCAGAAGCTTGCGTTCTGCAAGTGAACGGCGCTTTATAGTGCCATCGCAAAGAATCACAAAATCACTTTCACCTTAATTGTTCCCTCCTGGTGGAATGACCTGCCCAACTCAATCCGAGCAGCTGAGTCCTTAGCCATCTTCAACAAACTCCTAAACACATCTCTTCCATCTACACTTGACCCTCCAACACTAGCACTCTTTATTATATTTCTATTCTATCTACTTGTTTTTCTATTTATTTATTAAAATATCTTGACCCTCTAACACTTGCACTCTCAATTCTATTTCTATTTTATCTGCTTGTTTTTTTATTTATTAAAAAACTTGACACTCTAAAAATAGCACTGTCTATTATAATTCTATTCTATCTACTTTTTTCTTTTTAATTATTAAAAAATTGACTAACAATAGCACTCTATTTTATTTATATTCTTTCTACTCATTTACTTTTTGTTTATTAAAAAACTTGATGCTAACAAGAGCACTCTATTCTATTTCTATTCTATCTTGTTGTTTTCTATTCATTTATTAAAAACTCCTTCTAACACTAGCATGCTCAGTTCTATTTCTATTCTATCTGCTTGTTTTCTTTTAATAAAAAACTTGACCCTCTAACACTAGCACTCTATTCTATTTCTATTCTATCTGCTTGTTTTCTTTTTATTTATTAAAAGACAAGAAAAAAATCAACCCTCTAACAGTAGCACTCTCTGTTCTGTTTCTATTCTATCTACTTGTTTTCTTTTTATTTATAAAAATACAACTTGACCCTCTAACACTAGCGTTCTCTATCCTTTTTCTAGTTTATCTACTTGTTATAAAAAAAATTGCACTGCATTAGACTTTCCGGGACTTGTCACAGCACTTACATATTACTGCTCTTTTGTAGGTTTTGATTGCATCTATTGTCCTCATTTGTAAGTCGCTTTGGATAAAAGTAGGGCTGCCCTCGACTAAGTATTTTTCTGGTCGACTAGTAGTTGTTCATTTGAAGCATTAGTCGACTAATCGCACGTTTATTATCATTATCATTATATTGGGTCTTTAATTGCCTACATAGCCTAATAAACGCTCAAGCACACGCATAAAGTTTGCTACAGCGCACCGGCAGAAGTAATGATTATGAATGTGTCAGGGAAA